CCATGTACAGCTTTGTTTACAAGATAATTCGTTGATACGTTAAGCGCCATAGTATTGCATAGTCTAACTTCGTTTCGAGATAATTATAAACATAGGTATATAACTCATGACTATTTTGAAATGGTCAAACACATGGCAGGTATTTTTAAATTTAATTAAACAAGATAACACAATATTTTAATTAGGGGTGGACTATAATTGTATAGGAATTTCTAACTAAAAACTAAAAAAACTAAAACTAAACTTGAACTAAAAAAATATGATGGATAGTCAACTGTCATTGGCATTTCGATAACTTTTTTTTATCTAGAAATGATTCCTGAGCCAACGTGCACAATTTGATCGCATGGATGGCGTAGTGGTTTAAGCGGTCATCACGCCGCTTTCTACTACGCTGAGTGTTGTCGGTTCGATATAATATAACTTGGTGTCAGAAGTGGTATCCGAACCCACGCTCTCACAGAGGATGTCAATGGAGAGGCTACACCGTTAATTCTTGGTTAATAGAAGCTGGAAATGGCCGAACTGATTCACATTTTCAAGCCAAAAGCGATGATGGCGGGAAAATGTAACATACGACAATATATAAACTGCATGTACAATGTTACAACGTAACGTATTTTTTTCAAAGATCCGTATTGAATGATGCGTTATCTATACTGGTACTAATTTCTAATAAAAAACTGAAGAATGTTGAACGCGCTAATCTCAGGAACTATTGGTCCGAATAGAAAAATTATTTTAGTGTTGGATACCCCATTTATAGGCTATATAACACATTTATACGCTACGACCCATAGGAATCGAGGATCAGAGCGAAATGTTGCAAAAACGGTAAAAATTTATTCCTTTTTCGGGGGACGCAGACAATGTTGCGCGGATCAGATGATAAGAAAATATAATTTGACCGAGACCGGGGTTAAGGTTTAAATATATCATCATCATCATCATCACCCAGAACTACAGCACTGCAGAGAGAAGGAAAACTTGACAGAAACCCTATACCAACCCGTCTGGCCAGCGTGGTATAGTAGGCCAAAACCTCCTTTCTAAGGAGAGGCTTATGTCCAGCAGTGGACTGTTAAAGGCTGTTGATGATAGGCGTCCGTGTGGTGACGGATTAAGAATACGGAGTGTGTCTATGACGATGGATATATAATAAATTGTATTCATCATTTCTTAGACGTCCTTTAATTTCTCCAAACGGGAAATATACACTTCCAAGTAAAAAAAAGAATTTTCTTGAACGGTTTAAAAATAACGGGGTTTTAACTAACAGAAAAAAATACACCCCAATTCAGAACCTCCTCTTGTTTTTTGAAGGTTAAAAACCCGTTAGAAAAAAAACGGTCAACAGTTTATAACATTGCTGAACGTTGCCCACTAACGCGTAATTAATAAATAAACAGTTTGCGCGTGAGCACTCCACGCGCCCAGATCTACGCATGTAGTACGTTCTCCTGCGCAGATAGATCATCGTTTCATTTGCCACAACACGATTTATAATCAGCTGATGACCCTAAAAGGAGTTTGGTCGTGTTTATAAATGTAGATGATGTCTGGGATGGCACAAATTATATTTAGTTTAAAAACAAATTTTATGGGAACATCTGGAGTTTTAAATTGCGATTTTATATGCGCAGCCCTAAAATGATCTGTAGCCAAAATTACCGAAAGAGAGAAACCAAATGCAGTTTTACAATAGCACCATAGAGATAAGCGACAAATCTTGTAGATAGTAATTAGGTTTTAGCGGCTTAAAAGCAATTTTCTTTAGCATAATAATCATGATTTGCAAGTGTTAAATGAGATTTGTGTCGTGATCGTGTGGTAACGAAGGATGTCGTAAGAGCCGTCTAAGGGAGCAAACTACGCAGAACAACAGCGCTGCAAGGAAAAGGAAGACTTGAAACAAACTTTATATCAACCCGTCTGGCCAGCGTGCCAAAACCTCATTTTTAAGGAGAGGCCTATGTCCAGAGTGGACTATTAAAGGCTGTTGATGTGGTGTGAACTGAGAGTTCCAATTCTATTTTCTAATTTAACTTCATAAAGAATGAGTTTCATGAGACGAAGTTTTGCCTTTCACTCCATCAGAATATCTTTTGTATTTCATGCCAATAAGTTTGTTGAGTTGAGCATTTTTATTTCGGTCAACTTTCAGAGATTTTTGTGAATAATCAGGTACCGGGCTTTTCTGTACCTCTAATTATGTGTATGCATAATTTCGTAATGACTAGTTGAGTAGTTAAAGGTCAAAAGAAAACCATTCGAAATGTAAAATATCTTACAAAATCCTTAACTGGTCCTTTACACACGAAACAAAACTCGATCAACCTCTACTTGATATTAAATATTGTACCTTAAGAAATTAAAAATATCATTTTTATTGTAATGTTCTGTGTGTTCTTACAAGAAATCTTTCAACACTTCCATGAAACAACACGTTATTAACTAAACACTGCAATAGAGACGCGTATGCGCATGATTCACGATCATCTTGTGCCAAACGTAGCTGCACATCAACTCATGTGACACTGCAAACATGTGCCATGTTGCATTGCATCACATGCAACGGGATGTATGAAAGACTAGCTGACCCGCGCAACTTCGTCTGCGTCTCTCAATAGTAATAAATTTTCTCCGTTTTTGAAACATTCTTCATTGGTGCTCCGCTTCTATTGCTCTTAGAGTGATGATATATAGCCTATAGCCTTCCTCGATAAATGGGCTATCTAACACTGAAAGAATTTTTCAAATCGGACCAGTAGTTCCTGAGATTAGCGCGTTCTAACAAACAAACAAACAAACAAACTCTTCAGCTTTATAATATTAGTATAGATTATGACAGCATGGAGTCGGTATTAGGAACAGAAGTAGTGTGAGCTTATTTCACATAAATTCGCTCTCGACGGCGAGCGCGTTGAGCGCTGCGATTGGTGTAGATTTCAATGCGGTCACCGTGGCGATCGTGTGGATGTGAAATAAACTCACACGAGGCCCTTAGATCGACAACGCAGCTTAGTAGCTGTAGTTTCCTAAGTAAAAAACTGCAAGCAAATGCGACTGCACAGCTGGCGTGGTGGTTTAAGCAGTCACCTCGCCGCTTCCTACTGCGCTGAGAGTTCGATTCCCACATGTGACGACACTTTGTATCATCCACAAGTTATTGTTCTGAGTCTGGGTGTTCTTTGTGTACGTTTCATGAATGTTTGTAAAGATCCCCGAGACACAGGATGTATAAGCCGTTTGGGCTTGTCGCCCTAGTTTCAATTCTCAAATAAATCATTAGAAACATTTAATATTTTATTAACTTGGTCAAAATATCATTTGGCATAATTTTCCTTTATCAACTTTTATTAAGTCAAATGTTTATTAAGCAAACTTTTTATTTTGGCAAATATAACATTCCATAAAATGTTTTGTTGTGTAAACTGCTGCCAGAAAAGTCGGTTAGGTTCTTTTTTAATTTGGGTTACTTTAAAAAAATGCTTTTTAAGTTTTCTAATATTTGTGTAGAGTATTTGTACTTGAGAATTTTACTTAACGTAATTGGCAATACGTTTACTGTTTTTATAGATTTTTTATAACACACCACAAAACTAGGCAATAAATTGATTTTATTATTTTTAATGTGAATCTATACAAATAAATAAAATTGGAGTATCTGTTTGTAATATTAAAATAACCGCTATGTATGTTTACACGGTACATATGCCAAAATAACATTTTTTACAATTTTTGTCTGTCTGTCTGTCTATTTGTTCCGGGTAATCTCTGGAACGGCTGGACCGATTTCGACGGGACTTTCACTGGCGGATAGCTGATAACATAAGGAGTAACTTAGGCTACTTTTTTTAGACTAGCTTCGCCCCGCGGCCTTGCCCGTGGTTATAACAACAAACGCGGGTAACACCGCGGGTCTCAGCTAGTTAGGAATATATCCTGTGTCGCGGGGGACCTTACAAACATACATGAAACGGACACAAAGAACACCCAGACCCAGAACAACAATTTGTGGATCACACAAAGTGTCGTCCCATGTGGGGATCGGACCCACAACACTCAGCGTAGTAGAAAGCGGCGTGGCGACCGCTTAAAACCTCGTCGAAATCCGTGGAGTAATATATTCCCTCTAGTACGTTATATACTCACCAAAATACAACAAATATAAACCATGTGTAAAAATGATTTATATTTATATATATATATATATATATATACTACTTTAATTTCCTCTTTTTATACCACGGTTGCCTGTAAGAGATTGCCTCTGAGCGATAAGGATGATGAGGCTGATGACAGAAGGAGTAACTTAGGCTACTTTTTTTAGACTAGCTTCGCCCCGCGGCGTTGCCCGCGGTTATAACAACAAACGCGCGTAACACCGCGGGTCTCAGCTAGTTAATAATATTAATATAAACAGACACAGGTATACACGCATGCAGGCACCGAAGGAGAGGTACACATTCATAAAAACACTTGTTTAAATACTTTTCGTAGTTAGTGTGCTCAGAGATCGAGGTGGAGGCGCTGTGAGCTGACATACAGGTTTCTAGCCTAGTTCAGCAACAGATGCTACTACCGAACAAAAATTGTCTTCAGGTCCAGAAACCTTTTACAATCACAAACTATGTGTAAATGTGTACATGTTTTGCGGTAAAATAAACATTCATTCATTCATTCAATTGAAGAGTAACTGATGACTGTTAAATAATATTGATAACTAACTACAAAAAACTTTTAATTAAGGAGATTTTTTTTACACTAAAACATAAATAGAGTTTTTGAGTATTTCCTTTTTATTCACATTTAAATTATCATAATACTAATTAAATTAATAATATAAGAAACCTGTTCAAGAAGTACCAAAGTAACTTGTACGGATATACAGTGATGTACCGGATATCTCGATCCTTTACTAACTTAACGAGATCTGACCAGTTTTTTCGAGTTTCCTTTAGATAATAATAATAAGTGAATAAATAGCCGTAACTGACCTGTTTGACGACGACCTTGCCGGAAGGTTTCTCAGTGACGTAGGACTGCATGCCGGCCATGAGCACGGTGGCGCCGAGGAACTTGTTGAGCAGCGCGCGCGCCTCCGTGTCCTCCGACGTATCGCCCTCTTGGATCACTGGACAATTAAACGGCACTCTTAACCATCTAGAGTCTCGGTCTAGTGGTTAGTGACCCCGACTGTTAACTCAGAGGTCGTGGGTTCGATGCCCACCCAGGACAAATGATTGTGTGATGAGCACGATCATTTGTTTTGTATCTGGGTGTAGTCTCCTATGGATATGTATTTATACGTAGTAATATATGTAAAAGTTAGTTTATCAACAGTCTGGTACAGACTCTACTAGTTTAGGATAAAAAGCCGGGTTTAATACGTATCAAGACAATTAGAAGTGTTCCCGATAGGCGTTATCTTGTTCGAACAAACAAACAACAGTTGTTAAACAAATAAAGTCTTAATGAAAGACTGGTTAAATAATTCTATTTTTTAATCTTGGTTATAGTGCCATCTACCGGGAACAATTATGAATCTTAGCCATTCATCATGAAAAACAGTGTGCCTGTGCCTGTGCTTTCAGGTGGAGTACAATGTTGCCTGAGTGCCACCACTGCGATGGCCAGACCGTGGACACGGCTCTCCACACGCTGGCAGAGTGCCCGGCGTGGGTTGAGCAGAGGCGAGACCTCGTGGCGGCCATCGGAGTGGGAGTTCTCTCGCTCGATAGCCTGATTGCGGCTATCGTGCAGAGCGAGAGTGCGTGGAACTCTGCCGTCTCATTCTGCGAGCAAGTTATGCTCGCGAAGGAGACGGCGGAGCGGGACCGGGAGAGATTTAGGACTCTCCCGGCCCGCCAGGCCCGGGAACGGAGTACAATGTTGATATACAAATTCGCGTGAGATTTATGTAAAGATAAAACATCTGCAAATTTAGGTTATATAAATTGCAAGAAATTATTTAAAATTATCTTCTTTCTCGATATAAGCTATTTAACATTACGCCACGACCTTTGAGAGCGGAGCAGTAAATACAAACGCATGTGAAACTTCAGTCAATTTAAATGTCACCTTATACTATGTTTCTAAGTTTTATAAATACCTATATCAGCATTCTTCATCCTGGTCAAGATGTCCTGCACTCCGCTGACCTTCGTGTTGCTGTCGAGGAAGGACTTCTCTGTGTGTACCCTCTCTGGCTCGGCCTCGTGGTGGGTGTGGGTCACGTGACCATGGCTTCTCGTGGTCGTGGTGATAGTTCTCACGCCACCCTCGCACCGCTCCGTGGTTACCACTGTGTCTTCCACTGAACCTAGGCTGTGTTCACTGTCTGTGCGGGCTAGGCCTGTACATAAGAAGGTTTAGGTTTTATAAATAGATACAGTTACGCCTTACGAGAAGATAGAAATCTATAGTAATCAGAGGTCGAGGTATAGTAAAATATAGTATAGTAAATTTAGAGAAGTAATTAAAAGAATTATAATAGGATTAAACTGAATAAATAATAATAATATAATTAATGAATATAATATTTGTTGTCTCTTCTGTTTATTGTTATGTATGTGTTATGAGGAGGGCATGTCACTAAGGATTTTAATTTTAATTTTGGTAAATTGTAATTTAATTTATTAGTATGGTAATAATGTAAATAATTATATTATGAATGAATGTGTATTAAGATGCGATGTGTTAAGATGGGTTGTGATTGATACCTGAAATAAAAGTATTTTATTTATTTATATTATTAAACAGCTACATTTTACCGTTAAAAAGTTCAATTTTTTCGTAATAAAAAATAGAGAGATGGGATTAGAGAATTGAAAGGGTACAGTAGGCAAAAGGGGAAGAAATTTTAAGGTTAGAAATGTGGCTTCTATTGGTAGATTAGGGAGCAATCGCATTAGGTCAAACAGTGCACGGTCATTCAAGTTAGCTGTTGCACATATTCAAATCCTTCTACATAACAAATACAATAAATATGAAGAAGTCTTCTAAGAAGAACTTTTATTTTTGCATTTAACTAGAATCAGATTTTAAGTCATTGAGGAGTGTTTATTTGCCACTTAAATTGTATAGAAAAACCTTTCATGAATGATGGACTCATTAACAGTTAAAAAATATTTGTTGAAGCAAGAATGTACCTATATAGATTGAATAGAATTACATAACGCTACGACCAATAATAAAAAGAATGTACACATTATAAATATGTCTGCAAGAAAACAAAAAAACAAAACTTCCACTCCTGGGAATGATTCATTTGTCGTGGGGGGCTATGAAAAAAATGATAAAAACGGACGCAGACAGACCCAGGGCAACTTTTTGTGAGAGAAAACACCGTTGTCAAATAAAAAACCTGACGCCTATCGCTTATGTAATTGTTAGTATTTTTTAAACTGACCGGCATGTGCTGAGGAGTCGCTGGAGACACTGTCCTTCATGGTAGCGGTGCGGAGGATCAGACCGGCTTTCGGGTAAGACGGCCGTTCGGCTTTCGAGCTATCATCTGGCGAGGAAAATAACAGTGTTAAATAAAAATCATTACCATTCATTTGTCTGCTGTTGTGACATATTTTAATTTGGGTCGGACGCTTGACTAACGCCGGCCTTAGCGGGTAATATTATCTTTTTTGACTTGACTTAAGGAATCCGTGTAGTGACAGATCAAGAATACAAAGTGTCACTGCCCCTATTCATCCCATGGGTGTCGTAAAAGCCGACTAAGAGAGCAAACTACGTAGAACAACAGCACTGGAAAGAGAAGAAAATGATGAAAATGAAATAAACCGTCTAGCTATCTAGGCAGCGTGGTATAGTAGGCCAAAACCTCCTTTCTAAGGAGAGGCATGTTCAGATGATAATAAAGATCGATGAAAAAAAAAGCTAAAAATAATGACAAGGGCATCGCAAGTCTCAGGTAGAAAACGGGACTAAGTCTGAAGGAGATCTAATAGGTCGTGTGCGCGTAGCCGTTTGTCAATTCTATGGTTGGAGCGGCCACAAGGTCCTCATTCACTCGGTTAAAAGTAACGAAAGAAATGTTTAACACCGGTTTCATGTCAGGCCGTGGTATCACTGCGGTTGAGCCAGTCCATCGCTTATTGAGGCGGCGGAGGGGGCCCGGGAGGACAACCTCCACTTGGACCCAATCCGTCGCCGGCGAACTGGACGGCGGAGGCGCACTTACCACCCCCTCATGCCCTCCACCCACGTCAGGCTACGTCCGCGTGTGCCGGACGTCGCCTAAATAGAGAATGTACCCGAAAGTGGTGCCCGCGCCGTTGCGGGCAGGTGCTAGGAGGGATGTCGGGGCACCAGGGACTTCCTTTCTAGGGTATACCTGGTTCCCTGGCTATTAGTACCCGAGACGGCGTGCGGTTTTAGTCGGTTCGAGTCCGACATGCCACCGATAGGTGGTATCCGAGGAGATTTCCGAAAGGAAAAAATAAAATAAAAAAAAAGGTGCTAGGAGGGGTCCGGATGTCTTAATAACAGCAGTTCTCGGATCCCTCCTATTACAGGCGCAGAGTGGCACACCGTGTGGTTTTAGTCGGTCCGATTCCGACACACCACCCCGCCGCAAACCCCGGTTCATTAATTTAAAAAATACTAAGTAGTTGGTATTTTGCAAGATAAGTAAAAAATACGTATAAACAAAGTCTCGAATGAAACATTAACTCATCTCTTAATGCAAATGTGACACAGTCTTGTACTTAGCTGTTTTCCTTGTGAATGAGTTGCTCAACAATGTTTATGGTGCGGATGAGTCAACTGGGGTAAATGAACTTGATTTACTCATTAACGAGATGGCTAAACATGTCTCATTTCAAACGCATTTTGAATTGGTTTGTTTCTAATAACCCTTCTTTAAGGACATCAAGATCAGAGAGACGATGCCAATTAACGACTAAGGGACCGAAAAGTGAACAGACAGCCAATAAAAATGTAAGTCCTATACTTTTCTTATCCATATTTTCTGTCATTTTCGTAATTTTTGTGTGAGTTTGGCGCAATGTGTAATATTGCAAGGATTTTGAGTATTGTTTTATGGCGTATGCGGTAATGTTTTGAGACAGGGCAAACAAGGAAAGTAAACTGCTGTAAGGAGAAGAGATTAGGGTAACCCATATTACGTAACAAATTAAGGGTGAGGATGTCTTCAAGATACCACGCTTGGTCAAAGGTCCGGGGGACTTATAGTCGATATCATATATGACAAGACTGAACTAATAAAGACAAATATAAGTCAAACAATTCTTTTAACATTTTATTTGGAACAAAATATTTTAACTATGTTTGATAATAAAAAAAAGAGGAAGGGAGGGGAACTTGTCATATCCTACAGGTGGACACCGAGGGCGGGGGACTTTGGTAAAAAGGGGAAAAACTATGGGTCACGTTGGATGAGTACTGGGTACGTTCCATAAGGCGAAACAGTGACGGTGAGGGATTCCACAAGTCTCGAGAACTCAGTGTGAAAGTGCTCAGAGAGGGCGAGGGCACGTAGGCGTCCGTTCTATGATCGTAGAAGCAACTAGGCCAGGTGTAACTGGTGACCTACAAATTATTACGCAACATTTAATATTTACTTAAGTATACATTGTTATCCGGCACTTATTATTTCGCATTCGATTTTTAAACTGATATTGACATTGATTTGACCTTCACCAATGTCCAATACCTTGGGATATCAGCAAATAACTAAACTTTCATCTCGATAGTACAGATAAGACGTTGTGGATAAGAAGGTAGATGTCAAAGAAACTGAGGATAAGATAACTTTATGGTATCGTGGCAAAAGAGCATTCAGGTCACCTGATTGCACTTGACTACCGCTATTAGCTATTGTCCATATCCATCCATCCATCCATTAAAAGCTTGCGTATTTTAATTCTCCTTAGTTCTATATCTAATCATCATCAACAGCTTTTCATAGTTCACTACTGGATATAAGCCTCTCCTTAGAAAGGAGGGTTTGGCTACCACACTGGCCAGACGGGTTGGTTTAGGGTTTGTGTCCAGTTTTCCATCTCTTTGCAGTCCTGTTGTACTGTGTAGTTTGCTTCATTAGTCGGCTCCTACGACACCCACGGGATCAATAAGGGTGGTGACCTTTCGTATTCTTAATCCGTCAAAACACGTCCATGTATCTAGTTATGTCATTTTTAATCAACTTTTGCGGTAGAAGAGTCAGGCGGCGGTTCCGCTTACCATCGGTTAATTTTAGTATACTATGGAAGTACAAAAGAGTTGTTATTTATGAGCTCACGGAATAATTTAAACATTTAATTGAAGTAAAGAACTTAAAATTTACTTAAAACCGGCGATTACAATTTTTTTTATTAAGTTATTTATTTTATATTATTACTTATGCAAAAAATACAATTAATTGTACAACGGCGGAGTTAATGTAGTATGGCGGAGTATTGGGTTTGTTTCAAGTTTTCCTTGTCTTTAATAAATATGCATAATATCATCTGATTATATTATTAAGTAAGACAAAAACTTAAAACAATATTTTTATACATACATAGGTATTATCATCATATTAGAAAGAAAGAAATAAACATTTATTTGCACAGAATACAGGTGTTACCAAATTTAACAGTTGTATTGTTTAGGAATATTCTGCCTATATTAGGCATGCAAATATTTAAACGCGTAATTGGAACTAATTATAAGCAGTAACTACAAAGATTTTTCGAGTATTATTTATTTAAGGTTGTTGTTCTAATAAATAAAAAATGATACATGTGTTTATTATGCCTTTCCTTTTTATTTATTTTTGTATTCCATTAACATTAAAAACGCGCAAGTTAGTGAGTGTGGATGTATGGATATTTGTTAATCAACCATTCCAGAATGGCTGCACGGGTCTGGATACTATTTAGCATAGAGATAGACTATGGTATAGAGAATAAATTATTGTTAATAATAAACAAAATCGATATTAACGTGACCGGACCTGCCGGCAAAAGGTAGTTTATTACCATATACTGTTTATAAACATATTTTTTGATGTTATAATACACATGAAATTAATTTTGATATTATAATTTGATGCAAAATAACTTAATCGAATTTATATTATAAATATAATATGTGTATTGTTTTTATTTCTTAAATTTAATACAATTTATTTCGTCTGTCCGTCTGTTCGTGTGTTCTGATTTTCTCAGAAACGGGTAGACCTAGCAAGTTGAAATTTATACCAGATACTGAGGTCTATGGTCCCTATCAGTTGTATAAAAATCAAGGTCCTAAGTCAGCACGATAAAAAGATATGGGCAAATTTCGATTTTCGCGAAAACTTGTAAGTACCAAAATTTACCTTAATTTTCAACTTTTTTTTATACTACAGAATTTTCTCTTTACGATAAAGGTTTATTTAAATTTACACTGCTTGTCAATACTATGTTTTTGGTTTAAGTATCTAATAATTAATTAACTTACCCAACTTTTGATAAATACTTAACAACAACTTAAAATTATATCCACAATTATTATTTGGATCCATTTTCAATACAAACAATTCTTGATGATATTAAAACAATCACACAATAAAAAAAAAAACACTTTGTCTCTGCCTCGTGGGACGAGAGCTTGTTGTCGACTGAAAACGCAAACGCAAACGGTGCAATATGAAAGTATGAAAGTTATTACATAAGAAGGTCCGTGGTAACGCGCTCGCGTGCGTTTACGTTACGTTATCATTATGCGTTGCTCGACCATGATTTAGATGACAGAAAATGTCATGACAGCTGTCAGTGATCGAACGAGTGCCAAACTCAAAGCATATTGAAAATACTGTTTAAATTGTATCTCGGAAAGGGCTGGATCGATTTCCACTGAACTTTCACAGGCAGATAACTGATATTATGTGGGCAATTTAGTGGGTTTTTGAAATAAAAGAAACCGGTCAGGTACAAACGAACTCGTGCGCCGAGGGTTCCGTACCTACCCAGATTTTACGTAGATTTTCGCGAAAATTTGTAAGTACCAAAATTTATCTTAATTTTCAACTTTTTTATTTTTTGGAATTATTCCTTTATTTGTGCTGTAAGAAGTTTCTTTTTCGCAAATTTCGTGATTCTAGGTCAACGGTTTTCGACCCAAAACCTATAGGGGTACTTGCGGTTGACCTAGAATTGTCAATTTTGGTTAAAAGCAAGGTCTTACAGCACAAGTAAAGAGAAAATTCTGAAAAATAAGAAAAGTTGAAAATTAAGGTAAATTTTGGTCCTTACAAGTTTTCGCGAAAATCGAAATTTGCCCATATCTTTTTATCGTGTTGACTCAGGACCTTGATTTTTATACACCTAATAGGGACCATAGGCCTCAGTATCTGGTATAAATTTCAACTTGCTAGGTCTACCCGTTCCTGAGGAAATCGGTGGTGACACACGGACAGACGGACAAGAAAGTGATCTTATGTTATTAAGCGTTCCTTCCGTCAGTTCCTTTTTACCTTTTGCGGTACGAAACCCTAAAAAGTATTAGAAATGC